CACCAAATGCTGCCAGTCCTGCTTCACTCTCTGAGCTCCTGGTGAAATCATGTCTCACACGGATGGTGTTACCCTAATCCATTATTTTCAGAAGGTGTCAAGCTGGAGGCCTTGAGCTGGAAGGTGCCGCACAGAAATGAAATCCACTTGCACCTGGACGCCTGCACCCCTGGGAGCTCTCAGCAGGCAGAGGAAGGTCTGTGCCACCCAGAACAGCTTCCCCTGCAGGAGGTGGGCCATTAAGTGCTTTCTGAGCTCCATTAGTTACTCCTGCAGAGGCTGAAAAAGGCCTCATAAATGCGCAAAAATTAAATCGCCTACAAAGTAAGGAATGAGATAGTCCTTTGCTGCCAAATATTGTTCTGTTCAAATTCTCTAGAACCACACATGTGACGCAGAATCGGAGTCCACACCTGCAAGGAATGCAGCACTAAGAAAGCCTTTATGAATCAATGAAAGAGCTAAATCACTATTTATTTGAAAAATAAATACATAAATAGCCTGGCCAGCCTAGAGTTCTGTGCCCCCCAAATCCAATGACAGCCCATCATCTGGTAAAGACCCTCTGAACTGGCTTCAAGTTAACGTCACCTCACCCCCAGCACCACTCCAGGCGGAACCCTCACCTCCATTCCAGGGATCCCCAGGCCCCGGGTGGGGCGCAAAAATTAAATCGCCTACAAAGTAAGGAATGAGATAGTCCTTTGCTGCCAAATATTGTTCTGTTCAAATTCTCTAGAACCACACATGTGACGCAGAATCGGAGTCCACACCTGCAAGGAATGCAGCACTAAGAAAGCCTTTATGAATCAATGAAAGAGCTAAATCACTATTTATTTGAAAAATAAATACATAAATAGCCTGGCCAGCCTAGAGTTCTGTGCCCCCCAAATCCAATGACAGCCCATCATCTGGTAAAGACCCTCTGAACTGGCTTCAAGTTAACGTCACCTCACCCCCAGCACCACTCCAGGCGGAACCCTCACCTCCATTCCAGGGATCCCCAGGCCCCGGGTGGGCTCAATCAGAGCATCAGATGCCTGGGTTCCCTGACTTAGTGAGGGCCGCACAGGACCCAGGCAGAGCACGAGGTGCCATCTGGGGCGGATGGGACTCCTGGGAAAGCGAGACGCACTCCATTGGCTCCCCTCTCCTCTCCCTGAACTTGGGAGAAGGTGGGTCTGGGACCTCAGTCAGCCCTCAGCCCTCTCAGGCAACCTGGGCAGGAAAGCAACCAGGAGGAGAGGAAAGCTGAAAGCTGTACCGTTCAATTTTGGAAGGGGATTATCTCATTCTACACAGGAGGGACACTGAGGCACAGGTAGGTGCCTCCTCTTACCTGCCAAGCTCCTCTGATTGTTAGCAGCATCGCCAGGACTAGAGTCTCTAGCTTTCTCATGTGCTGTTGTCACTGTACTGTGGGAAAAATCAACATGTAGGATTTCTTTAAAACCTTTTTTTTGTTTTGTCAATCCTCATTGGAGGATATTATTCCCATTAATTTTCTGAGGAGAGTGGAAGGGACTGAGGGAGGGGGAGAGAGAAACATTGACATGAAAGAGACACCTTTATTGGTTGCCTCCCACATGGGCCCAAAATGAGAGGGGAGTGACTTGCAACACAAGCATGTGCTCTTGATCAGTAATGCCCCCCCACACCACTGAGCCACACTGATCGAGGCTGATGAAAACGTTAACGCCAACTAAAAGTTTCCTTAATGTATATCATACTTTAAAAATGAATGTATAAATTAACATTTTAAGTGATCCTTTTCATTGTTGACTTGAAAAAGCATTCATAAACAAAATTTTTCAGAAATGTGCTGTGGTCTCCTGTAGTAACAATAGAAATAGCCCAACAAAATAGCTTAAAATGTTTTATTAAGTATATGTAATATTACAGGGTAATATTTACAAAGTTATGTTTTTTAAATAAAAAAGTATCTTGGCAAAGATTGCAGATATTCAAAGCTTCAACAGTGATAATTGATTTAATACATATAAAAAAAAAACCTTTAAGGTAACACAGCTGTAAAACAACTTTGGTCTTTAAATCACTTCGGAAAATGGCTACTGACAAATAGCACACCTTTAATTGCTATGGAAAAAGCCCCCAAGAGAGTATCTTGCACATAGCAACACTGGAGTTTTCTTTATTTAGATTGTTGATGGACATTCATCTGGTGTGGGATCTAATTCTCAGCGATGGCTTCTGTAAATAATGCTCCATTTAATAAAAACAAATGTCTTCCTTTCTCACCAATCCTAATAACAACACATCTAAGATTCCACTGATGTTGCCTTACAGAGAAGCTTATTTCAAATGCTTTCTTTTTTTCCTAAAAGCTAAATTTATGGGAAAGCTGGACTTAAATGATAAGTAAGAGCCCTCAAAAACCAAAGGCAGGAAACTGCCCATTCACTGCTCATCTCTTGAAAGGTACCTACCTGGGTTATCCCTTTTAGCCATGGAAACTCACAAAGGACCCCAGTGGGAGATGGCAGTTAGTGACACTGAAAATACAACACATGTAAAACTTTCTGAACATACTCACCATCAAACAAAACATCATAAAAAGATAAAGGGTTGCCCAACAATCATTTCTCTAGTTTCCAAGGATAGGTAGATAAGGGGATATATTTCCATACATAACATGACAGATGTCCATTTTTGAATACTCACTTTGGGACAATAGAAATCTAGAGGTGGAATAGAGCTTAATTCTTATTGAGATGAAGGAGTAAACTCATCAGTTTTGAGCTTTATTCACTCAAACCACAATTTGTTTGGTCACTTACTATAGTGACTACAGAATCCTGAAAGATCAATACTTCTGATTATGGGCTAGCCTCATTATTTCATAATCTGACATTCTCAGAAATTTTAAACAGAATGAACCTGGAGTCTCCAAGTGAAAAATCACCAACTCTGAAGGTTTCCAGAGTATGTGAAATTTGTCCTAAAAAGAAAACTCTTGCTCACCCTATTAAAAATAGTGGGACATCTACATACAACCAAGTCTCAATCATCAAATATATACTGGGTACCTAATGTATGTAAGACACTGAAGGGGAAAAAAAGGGGGGGGTGAAGCTCTGGATATGCAGGAATTTTCAAATCAAGTGAGAGAAATGGGGAAGGACGAGCTGAAAGATACTGTTTTGTGGCAGAGGGAAAATTTGATTTGGCCAGAAAGGTTGAAATGGTTGTTGCAAAAATGACAAATGGAATCACTCTGAGAACACACAATAAATAAAATTGGACAGAAGAATCAATGGCAAAAATGAGATCATGAAGTAAAAAGCAGATTATGGGGGAAACAGATATATGATGCCCAAAACAAGGGCAATTTTAATTAGGTGCGACAGAAAGTTGGGAGCCATGACAAGTCTGATGGAATGAGAATGAACTGGCCCAATGGTGCCCAAGCAAGAGGGATGCCACTGCTGTGGTCCCTTTTCCAGAGAAGCTGACAATGACTTAGAACGAGACTTGCTTTCATCTGGCATTTATCCTGCTACCTCTGCCTTGTCTCATGCAGTGAATGCCTCCAAAGATAGGCATCGTTAAAAAGAACACAAAGGATGGGTAAGTCCCAGTTGAACCCTAAATAAAGGAGAGCTTACTGCATATTAAAAGGTACAATGTTAGTGTATTAAAAATTTCACTGTAAAGATTTTCATAGCTGATTTTTTCTTAATAGAGAATAAGAATTTCAATCTTTTTCAAGTCCATCTGCTTTTCCCCTCCTTTCAATGAAATTGTTTTCTAAAGTAACAAACAATATTCCTAAATTATAAATATTTTCAGAAAAAAAAGAGCAGCAGGAGCCATGCAAGTTGTATAAAGGAATACAGCTCCCTCTACATAATATAATATTTTGGACAGCAACACAAATAGGGAAAAATTAGTTTTCTTTTTTTCCAAGAAGCGCACTCTTCATAGTATGTTCATTTTTCTGAGAGGCATCACAGGTCATAAATTCTGGTTTGCCCTGGGCAAAGCACTTGGTCCCAACATGAAATATGACAATCAATTTGACATTAAAGAGGCACATGGGAACATTCAGTGGACTGGGAAATAACTATTCGTAATACGACTCCAAATAGGAATGTCTTATTATTACACAAGCAGGAAGAATTACTAGTATTTTTAGAGGGTATTGGTGAGCAGTCAAAAGACTTGGCAACTGACCTACAAGTTTTAAAAGTTTTAAGTGATCAAATATTCTCATCAAATACAATCCCACTCAATAAAGATCTTTGTTTTTAAATGTTTTTGCTAAAAGTAAGAATTAGCATTTGCTCCCCTGTAGGTACCCACTGTTGTTTGTACAGAAAAAGCATGTGCCTGTCTTATACACGTGCACATACAAATACACACCCACAAAGGAGGAAATCTCTGAGAACAAGGCTGGCTCCTTTCTGCAATGACGCTACCATGTCACTGGACCATGTTCAAAGAGGAGAAAAGGTGCTACATCTTGCACAGCAGAAGCAAACAACAGGTGGACAAGACAGGGTTGAAAGATTGTGTGAATAAAAGAAAAAGACATCCATCAGTAAAATTACCCTATATCTATTGAAGGAAGAATGTGTGAATGGCAACCCCTAAGAATGAACACCATGATCTCCAAGAGTATCGCATCACTCAAAAGTAACACACAAATGTTTCCAACTAAATTCCTGTCTGTACGTAATTTGCTATGCCCTTGACCTAGAAGTGGCAGACCCATATCCAGCTAACACCATAACTGCCAAAGTGGCTGTGAACCTCAGTTTCCTGAGGTTCGATGGAAGCCACCATTTTTCAGTGACATCTCTGGGTAACCACCAGGTTAGTGCCAGGTAATTCTCACGTTGAACCAATTTACATTGGTGACCGAAAGTCAAGAGGTCCTAGGATCTGAAAGGCATCATTCTTGGAAGTTGCCCACTTTACTTTTGCCCCTAATCGAAGAAAATTAACAATAAAAAACTGGATTGCAATTGGGCACACAACACAGATTATAATTCTTTTATTAGCTAAATCACAAATGCTTTGAATAAAAACTTAACTGCAATAACCATTTAAAAGTCAATGATTTACTTTCTCTTATAGACGAGAGTCACTTTTCTTGTTTTCTTCTCTTGAACAGTGAGTGAGTCAAGGTCAGGGTCCTTAAACATAAGTGCATTCCTTTCACATCTTACTACTCTGCAAGTCAGAGTCCATCACTTCAATTCAGTTACTCTGAAAAATTGAGAAATGAACATTTAATGTGTCTATTTTCTATGCATTAACAAGTTGATTTATCTTAAAAATATGGAATTTTTTCAAGTATACAATATCTGAAAATAAAGTATTCAATCTTAAGTTCACAAAGGTCACAGATATAAGGCAGGCAGATCATTAGTCATTTTTGTGGCAGGAAGGGAAAGGGCAATGCCAAATGAGAGTAAAGATCAACCAAGTCTGATCACTTTCATTTGCAGGGTTAGCTGAGGACAAACCAAGGGATGCTGATTCTGTAAAGCAAAAGCCACTGCTCACAGAATACTATTCCATCACATTCACTTTACATCTGTATCATTCATTTAATGCAAGTGAAAGAAACATGTGATTCGGTATAAATCAAAGAGGAAACGTTCCCTAGGAGGGTACTTTGAACCTCACTCATGGATGAGGCAGACACACTGTGAGCATCATGCTGTTAGCTGTCAGCTCAACGATCCCACCAGACAGACATTTAAAATTAACCAACAAATTCTGAACAGCTAAATATTAGCAAAATAAGGACATTTCAAAGGTCATTATTGATTTTATGTGCTATTAACAAATAAAAACTGCTATATCTCCCCATACAGTGGTTCAAAAAAAGTCACATCTTAAAGGAAATTAACAATGGAAATGGTACTCAAGGTTTTATACTGGCTTTCTGACCATGGGCAAAAGGGGTTTCATTACTCTAACCAACTAAAGAAGAATTACTCCACAATAGAAAAGGAAAGAACAAAAATTTTTTTAAAAATAGGACACCAGAATGAAAACATAAGCAAACCATGCCACAATTCCACGCACAAGTTCTTTGTTTAATACCATTTCGTTTATTCCTACTAACTACAATTTTTTGGGGGGGTGGCCATAGTTAGTATAATAAAACATGCATTTTTGTAATAAAGGCTGTGACACACAGCTACAAAAGTGGGATCATTCTGTGCCTCCTTGTTAAACACAGCCTAAACATTGTTTTAAACTTAATCCACAACACACTATTATGTGATTTTACTCTTAGGCAAACATTAATTGTATTCTAGAATATAGACTCTTGAGATAAATGCTGCACTTTTGCAAGAGAGGTGAGCAGGTAGGTCACAGACTTTAAAACAGTAAAATGGAAAGTGAGCTATTTCAAATGATCAAGACATGACAGCAAATACTAAACATATGAAGAAGTTTTTGACAAGGTAAAAACACATTAAAGTGCAAACAGAAATAAATGAATACTTATAGCATTCAATATCTCTGACTTCTTTAACAAATGTGTTTGAAATATTTAATAAAAATTTTAAATTGTTAGCCGGAGTCCACCTCCCCCGCCCCAAAAAAGAAAAAAACTGGAGTGACCAAAATTTTTCTCTCTTTTTATTTATTTCTAGAGGCCTGGTGCAAAAATTTATACATAGGTGTGTCCCTTGGCCTGACTGGTGATTGGGGCCCCCTTGCCTAGTCCCAATCGGGGCTGATTGGGCTGGCAGGCCAGGGAGAAGGTCCACGATTGGTTGGCTGTGGGAGCACACTGACCACCCAGCTGGCTGTGGGGAGGGAACTCAGGAGGTTGGCTGGCCTTGGGAGGTTGGCTGTGGAGTGCACTGACCACCAGGTGGCTGCTCCTGCATTAAGCGCCTGCCCCCTGGTGGTCAGTGCACGTGATAGGGACTGGTCGACCGGTTGTTTGGTCGACTGGTGGTAACAGTCGCTTACGCATATATATATATATTTCCCATATATATGTGTATATATGTATATATATATGTATATATGTATATATATACATATATATATAGGGAGAGAGAGAGAGAGAAAGAGAGAGATTTTTAAGGGAGGGCAGGGAAGAGTTGGTATTCGTTTGTTTTTTAACCTTTTTTTTGTTGATCCCTAGAGAGAGAGAAAGGGAGAGGGATAGAGAGATGAAACATCAATGAGAGAGAAACATCATGGATCAGCTGCCTCCTGTACTGGGGACCAAGCCTACAACTTGAGCATGTGTAGAACCAGTGACCTCTTGGTTCCTAGGTGGATACTCAACTGCTGAGCCACACCCACTGTGCTCTCTCTCTTCTTTTAAATCCTCTCCCTAAAGGTTAGAACCAAGTTTCTTTATGAAAAAGCAGAGATATTAAGCCCCCATGGGTTAAATGCAACAAAATCACCAATACAAGCACAAAAGGAACTCTGTCAAGATTATAAAGATTTGTGCCAGATTATCTACGTGTCATATAAAAACCATTTACAATAACTGTCACTGCATCTGAAAGGTGTTTTTTAAAAAGCAGTAGTTTCTTTTTGCTGTGAGCAGTACGACTGGAGATCTGATGAGTGACACCCTACAGCTTTTATATGACTAGTGGTGCAATTTTAACAGAGTAGATTTAAGTTTTGTAAATGAACACATGTAAACCTTTATGCTTTGACAGTGTCCCTTTTATTTAAAACGCCGTATTTCCAAGAAGCAATTTTATTTCTTTTCAATGTCCGTATTTTAACCAATCTATAATTGTATGTGCTTTTTATACTCACCATCATTCATCATTCCTTTTGATTCTTTAAATGCTAAGAATTAGTAACAAGCCAAGCAAGCGATTAGAAAGGTTCCACAATTAAAAATCATTTCTAAATAAACAACTAGGTAGTAATATCATGCCAACTATTCCACAGCTGTCAATACAAATTAATTTTAAGGCATTTGATTACAATGCCTTTCTCTGGATCATACCCACAGCCCCCCCAAAATAAAATAATCAGTTGAGAATATAGATCTAGATTTAGGGAGAAAGAAAGTAAAAGAAAGTGTTTTGGTCTCACTCCGCGGTGAGAAACTATATCTTCCTAAAATTTATAAATCAGAAATTATAATTGAGATTTTTCTATACTGGGGGTGCTGCTACAGACTTCATCTTGGCCAGTATGAGAAAGCAGTAGTCCCCTCGCCCAATATCACTTGCTAATGCATGCAACTACTTGGGAGATACAGAGCAGTGCATTTTTCTCAGAGGTGAGAACATTACAAAGCAATACTCTTAATTCTTGATTAATAATCAAAAAAGAGAGGTCAAGGAAGAAAAAAAACAAAACACTGGATTTTTCCCAAGGTAAAGATAAAACTGCTTGGGGGCCAGTTAAAATTATGATCTGGTAATAGATCAAGAAAAATATACAAGTTTGTAATAATCACATACCATTAAGGGGTTCCTCTACAGCTTTCTGAAAAATATGTAAAACACATTTATAAAAAAATAGAATCTATTTCATGTCCTTCATATTGAAATTTATATACATTAACATTTAAACTATGTAGTAGACAGTGAATCCTATGGTCTAAAGGAAGGCAATAAAGATTAAAAAGCAAAGCTTGCCAAGTCTCACTAATACAGCGGTTCTCAACCTGTGGGTCGCGACCCCTTTGGGGGTCAAATGACCCTTTCACAGGGGTCGCCTAAGACCATCGGAAAACACATATATAATTACATATTGTTTTTGTGATTAATCACTATGCTTTAATTATGTTCTATTTGTAACAATGAAATGGGGGGTCACCACAACATGAGGAACTGTATTAAAGGGTCGTGGCATTAGGAAGGTTGAGAACCACTGCACTAATAGTTTAAGAAGTGTCTTATTTTCAACATTCTTTTTCTGTGCAGAATTTCCCACCCCACCTAGTCTCTGTCTATTCAAGAAATCCTAACTTTTTGAAAAAATTATGAAGTCTAAAATACATAGCAACATAATAAATAATACAGTTAAACAAGAGATAAGAGCAAAACAATCATTTGTAAGTCATGCAGAGAAAATGTGTTAGGATTTAGTGGCTGGATAAGCTCTGACAGAGGCACAAGAAAAGCTGCTGTGTGTTTGTGACAGTGTAGCTGTGGCACCAGTCTTAGAATAAACACCCATGGCAGAGCACCCCTACTCCCCTTGCCTTTCAGGCATGTCTGTTGAGGCTCATCAGAATTAGCAGCATATGCAATCCCCACTTCCTGCCACACAGGAGTCTCACCTGTGGCATTCCAGGTACAGCTACCATTAAATCCTTTATGGGAAGATGAGTACAATATAGTCCTTTCCAATGTTATTTGCAAAATGTAGCTTTTGTGCAAATAAGCTACTTTGTGCAAATGATGAATCTCTCTTTATAAAGGTTTTCTTTTAACCCATCTCATTTATTTCTCTCAGTTTATCTCCTAAATTTACTCCTTTTCTTGGAATTTACTCAGAAAGCTTAATAAGATATCCAAAGATATAGTGAAAATGACAATACAGTGTGGAGGAAGAAAAATGCTTATAAAATTAGGGACATGAATCATAATTTGGAACAGGTACTTTAAAGCAACATTTAAATTTATTTTATAGATTATTACTTTAAGTAAAATAATGTAATTTAATATAAATTTATCCCTCATTTAAAGCCTGAAATACTGTTTTGTATATGCACATCAAATAAATATAACAGGTAAGGTGATATATTGGAGTCAGCTTTCCTTCAGTAGAGACAATGACCATTATTCTTACATATAAACTGTTCAGTAATGGGTATGAGAAGTCTGCCTTATCATAAGAAATCATTTATATCCCATTGCTACTAAATGACCAAACATAGGTTTTAAAATAGAATTGGATCTATTCATGCAAAGGTTATGAAATGACTTCATTGTTCTCTTAATTTGATGTTACACTAAACAGATAGCAAGAGAGTTCAATTTCTCAGTTACCAATCCTCAGTCGAAACTATCAAGTGATCAGACTCAATTCATTTAAGAAATTTTAACTTACCCTAGGAGGCTGTATAGCCCTCTGATTGGAAGCTGATGAAATTAAAACACAAGAAAATGATTAATAAATAAAGAAATTAAGCCAGTCCACTGTTTAGTTTTAAAATAAAATGTTTAGGGCTAAAATTAGAGGTGCAAAAAGTCCATTGAGTTTCAGGTTTTTTGTTTGTTTGTTTGTTTGTTTTTAAATATATTTTATTGATTTTTTACAGAGAGGAAGGGAGAGAGATAGAGAGTTAGAAACATCGATGAGAGAGAAACATCGACCAGGTGCCTCCTGCACATCTCCCAGTGGGGATGAGCCCGCAACCCAGGTACATGCCCTTGACCGGAATCGAACCCGGGACCTTTCAGTCCGCAGGCCGACGCTCTATCCACTGAGCCAAACCGGTTTCGGCGAGTTTCAGTTTTGGTAGTCTATTTTAAAAATACAGAATCTTCACCTAGCTGGTATGGCTCAGTGGTTGAGCATCGACCCATAAATCAGGAAGTCATGGTTCCATTCCTGGTAAGGACGCACGCCAGGGATTCAAGCTCAATCCCGGTTGGGGGCTTGCAGGAGGCAGCTGATAGATGATTCTCTCTCATCATTGATGTTTTTTCTCTCTCCTTCTTCCTTCATGTCTAATATCAAAAAAATATATTTTAAAAAATAAAGAACGTTCTGAATTATATGAATTGACAGATTAAAATGGTGCAAATAATCCATCTGCATCAAATAATAAACATACCCGTTTGCTCACTTGCATATACCATATCTCCCCCACTTTGTGGTGGAAAAACTTTGTCATCCACTCATCCCACTGTGGACTCAACATCCTCCCTACTAAGTGGGCAGAATGTGACAGTGACCAATCTCTGCCTTTGCCCCATTGCCCACCCTTAGCTCACTGCTCTTGTTCCTTGTAGCCTAGTCCTTTTCTTTTCTTTCATCTTTCCAGTTTTCAAAGATCCAAGTCGGTAACAAATGAAAGAAAATATTCAGATCCCTTTGAGTTTAAAGAATTACTTTACTTTTAGCTACAGCCAAGTCCTCCTCTATGTGTTCCTTCTTAGCTTACCCTTCACTGCTTCTGAACGGATTGGTGAATGAAGATGAAGAAATATAGGGCATGAAGAATGTGACAAAGGAAAAAGAACTGCTCTGGATACATAAAGAAGAAGAGAGAACTTCCTTACAAAATCCAAACGAGGAGTACCCAGAGCAGCTAAAACCAGTCCTAATTACAGAATCAGAGTCCTGCAGATACAAAGGCCTCAACCAACAACATCCTATGAATGACTCTGGAGGAGGAGGATGCTAACAGTTACAGTAGTCAACCACACTGCTCTGAATTGGATGACAGCACTGGGTTTGCTTATTAGTAGGTTGAGCCACGCCTCAGAACTGCTCTAGCTTTCTATGCTATTTATTTACTACCTTTCCTCCAGACCCACTTTATGAAGCTCCCAAAGCTGATGGGAAATGTGGGTAAGTGAGACCCGACTCAAGGGCAGCCACTCTCTAGGTGGGCCAGAGCTGATAAGGCTCTGGAACAGGGAAAATGACTGCTGACTGGCCTGTAAAGTTTCTTCTCCCCCTGACATCTGAAGGGAGAGTATCAGATGAAGACTAGAAAGTTGGCGATGGAAAAGGAAGGTGACAAGGAAAGTAAGCAAGAAGCTCAAAGCTTACAACTCTAGGTAAGAAAAGATCAGTGAGAAGACATAAATAGGATGAAGAATAAGGACGTAAACGGAGAGGATGAGCTAGTTGGCTATCAGGGAAAGAACCACAGAGAGAGGAACCAAGTAACCATACCTGGCAGAAGGGCTAACTGACTTGTTCCTGAGAGGGCAGCCTGATGACTCAGTCCTTGGAGACATACTGGATCCTTCCACTTCCTGAACTACCTACTGTTCCACTCTCTGTGAGGCCCACTTACGTACCAGCTCTCATGAGATTCCCATCACTGTTACTGTCGTTTTAAATAAAGCTCCCTGACTGGAGGTACACAGAAAGTGGTTTGGTCCTTGCAACCAAACAAGAAGAACACCTATTTTTATAGTACTATGGAGAGAAATGGGTTTGGCAATATTAGTGGATTCACTTTTAGCAGTTTTCCAAATGAACCAGGCAGAATTACAGAACTTTATTAGATACCATCATGACTGTCACATGTATATAACTCACTTCAACTAAGCCATGCCCTCTATCTATGTTCCATCCAAGAAAAGTGAACTAACCAGCTATGAAAATTACTGATGGCTAAAGTGAAGGGTCGGGGGTCAGATTTTAGAGTTATATTTTTGAGCTCAGAAATTTATTCATCAGAATTAGTAATAAGAACTGCCAAGTCACTCCTGTTCTATCCTAATCACATATAAAGAATAGTTTATGAGCTCCAATTCTCAGGCACAAGGAACATCAGATTTGCTGAGCCTATTCTGAAAAAAAAAAAAATGGATCTATAAAGAACAGTGATTCAAAGGGACACAGGTCAGCTGTGGTCCCTCTAATATAATAAAACCGAACAGCAGAGAAGTTAGTTTTGCCTGAGTTAATCCTCTCCAATAAGCATCTGACCTATGTAACAGAAGAATGACTGTAATGTATCTGCTGCCACCATGGGCCTAAGGCATTGGCAGCCACATCTACATAGTTTTAAAACCACAAAGCCTTAAGTATTTCATATGAGCTCACTTGCAATGTTTTGACTTACTCTTTTCACCCTGAAACACTTGCCACATGTCATAAATATAATTCTAGTTTGTGCATTTTCAGAAATACTTTTTTTATTGATACCAGAATTCACCTTACCTCCACATTGGACAAGACAATATCACTTAAATTTTTATATCTCTCTCTCTATTCCATGTCATTCTAATATATCTGAGTTGTGGTCAATAAGGTTTCTGACTGCTACAAGGTTGATTTGTATCAAAACATGATTATAGTCCTTATACTAGTAATAGCTCTAAAAAATTAACAAGTATATAAACACCCTATATAAATAACAAGCCTAACTTGATCGAGTTCCTTTTAATCTTCTATACATTCTCATATTATCATTGTTTCCAGTGCCTAATTTCATTTTATAAAATTTAAATCCTTCTATGAAAAAGAATCCAACACAGTTAAAGAAGAAGACCAGAGAAAATGAAAGTTAAAATCTTACTCCTTAAAGTAACAGGTAAGGGTACAAATTTAAACTTGGAAATAATGCAAATGATCAAAGTTAAACTTCTCATAGGAACATCAACTTAATCTTAAAAAGATAGCTTGGGTTTTTTTTTTTTCTTTTTTGTAACTATATGAGGATTTTATTGCATTTAAGTTGAGACACATTCATTAGGCTTTTCCAAAACAGAGCATCTGCAATGAGTAAAAGTTATTTTGGAAACATTTAGAATTTTTACTTTCTGATTCAAATGCTCAAATTTGAAACCTTAATGTTACTCAGCTTCACAGACTCTATAAGAAACACACATCCATTTTCCTAGTCTACAGCAGCGTCTACAGAGCAATGTTCCTGTACCTTTGCTCTTCTTGCCCTTCAACTGAAGGCAGGGGTGCCTCTGAACTCTGGCATCAGGCAGGTTGATGTGAAAAGTTAATTTAGAATATTATCACCATGTCAATAAAATGGGTTAAAGTCTTAATTTACACATGGCATATTGAAGTATAAGAAAGAAAAAAATAACCTGGTGAATTTTCATAATTTCCCTTTGCTTTTAATGTGAGAATAGTATGTTTGTAATGTTATGGTTTCTTAGGGATGTTGGCAATGGAGAAGTGGGGAGAGCGAGGTCAAGGGGGTGGCAGCTAGACAATGCCTGTTTCCACTTGAGTCAGCATCTCCAGACCTGTTGACAACTGTACTGCACATCCTTCTTTGTTATACATGAAAGGCATGGGGGGTATGGCAACAAAAGGGAGGGCAAACCAGATAATGAAGTGAAAAAATAACAAAGATCTGACCATCAGTGAGTGACACCTAATACTACATAATGCTGTATGGGTACTGTAGCTCACATACTGTTCTCAGGCATTCACAGGGAGCAGCATAATCAGCAGTGTCATCTTCCAGAACCAGACCAATGGTGATTAGAAGGAAGATTCAACAAAAATAGAATATGTATCAACATTCATAATGTGATGCTCATGATATGTTATTCTGCTTTATAAGTCTTAGTTGTGTTTTAGGAATTTATGAGGCATGAACTGAGAAAATTTCAGTGACAAAACTACTCTGATTTTATAAACACATAAACTAAAGATAGGCAAATTTTAGTTAAGTACTGTGTTTTAATTGTTTAATAAACATTAAAGAGAGACAAAGAATATATAACAGAATTAAACTCCTGACCAGTCAGCAAAAGCTGAAGTTCAAAAATAAAGATAACATTTCTTTGAAAGTACTGTGCAAGTCATATGGAAAATTATTTGAGTATTTGAATTTGTTAAATTAAAAATTATTTGAATTGAATAATTCAAGGTTTATATGAATTTTTATAAACACATAAGTAATGCCTAAAGTAAAGCACAAAGACTGATTTTTTTATTTCATTAGTTTGTAACTTGATTATTCTGATAAATGTTTAAGAGTTTACTTTACTTCATAAATTTAGAGTGTTTTAAGGAACACTAAGAAAAACCAGATTGTAGAGAACATCTTTCGGCACTCACTATTAAAAGCACCTTTCTCATCATTTATGTATTAAAAATAACTTATACAGTCCAGCTGGTGTGGCTCAGTGGTTGAGCTTCAACCTATGAACTAGGAGGTCATGGTTCAATTCTGAGTCAGAGCACATGCCTGGGTTGCTGGTTTTACCCGCAATGGGGTGCGTGCAGGAGTTAGCCAATCAATGATTCTGTCTCATCATTGATGTCTCTGTCTCTCTCTCCCTGTCCCTTCCTCTCTGAAATCAATAAAAATATATTTTAAAAAATAACATACAAAAATCTGTAAACTAAAAATTGGCAGATTAAGTACAAAGTTTAGATACAATAAATTGATTCCACACTTAATAACAATTGATTTTAAAAATGACAAAAGCCTAGATTTTAAAACACAATGTTTTTATTATAGTGTAATGCTTTTCACTAAAAATACTTCAAAGTCAATTATCAGAGGACACTGCTCTTAATTAGCAAAAACGACAGATTTTGAATTTCAATTCCTGTCCACTTCTGGGAGTCAAGGCTTATAACCAGTCCAGTCTGCAAGAAGAGCAAGTGAGAAGTAGGTCTCTGTGAAAGAGCGCTATCACACAAACAATGGCCAATTAAAAAGCCTTTCTATTTATTAAAATCAATCCTCAACCAATTCTCCTTTTCCATAGCATTAAAAGGTTTATGCATTCAAAAACATAGATATTTTCTTTTAAACTAGGCTATAATCTAAACTTTTCAGTATCTCATGATTTCCACTTTTTTCATTAGTTTCCAATACATTTCTTTGATCCTAAGCTGTACAAACCAACCAAAAGCATTTTCCAAATCATAGTATATTTGAAATTCTTGGCATAGACTAATAAAAATGAAAGTTGACTTACCCACAAATTTCATATAAACTAATCCAAGTAATTCCGCTAAAGCTATAATACCCAATCCTGAAATCAGAAGAGGACCATGCATTGGGGTGCACTCTGCAAAAACAAATAAAATTTTTATATTAGAAATTCACATTAAATAACTGAAGTTCTTAAAAGCAACAATAACAGTAATAAAATTAAGTTTTAGGGAGAGTAATTATTTTTCTCATTATCAAGAAACAAAAATTATCTACATATGTACCTGCATTATTAACTCAGTCAATGAAATGACTCCAAATTATTAAAATAGAAAAGTTTTGTTGGTATAGCATGTACCTTATCACATCAAAACTAATTGGAAATAGTTTGTGAAGCCTAAGCCTCCACCCAATGTTTATTTTAAAAGCTCATTCACGAATACAGGCAGGGTAGTTTGGGCACTAAATAATCAGCCCATAAGCTATATACAGCCAATAGGAAAGCACTAATCTCAGTGGGGACAAAATGATAGTGAAAAATGAAAAAACCTCACAACACTGAATGCTGGCAAGAATGTAGAGCAACAGAAATGTGCATTCATTGCTGGTGGGAACACAAAATGGTAATTTACTACAAAACTAAATATATTCTTAACATGCAATCTAGCAACTGCACTCCTTAGTATTTTCCCAAATGAAGTTGAAAAGACATGTCAACACAAAAACATGCACTTCTATATTGTGTGTCTAGTTCTGTGATTTTAAAACAAACCAATATCCTTACCCCCAATAGGTGAATGGATAAACAAACCATCATCCATTCAAACAATGGAATATTATTCAGTGATAAAAAGGAATGAATTATCAAGCTAAACAACGTCATGGAGGAAACTTAAATGCACACTACTAAGTGAAAGAAGCCAATTTGAGAAAGCTAGATATTATATGATTCCAAGCTTAAGCCATTTTGGAAAATGCAAAACTGTGGAGGCAGTAAAAAGATTGGTGGTTGCCAGGGGTTTCTGAATAGGGAGGATGAATGGGAAGAGCACAGAGGATTTTTAGGGCAAGTAAATTTTTCTATATGGTATTTTATGACTATGATCCATGTCATATCTATATATATAAAAGCCTAAGCAACCCTTTCAACCAAACAACAGAAATGATGCGCACTGACCCAGACCTTGCTGCTGGGGCCCTGACAGCCACGATCTGGTTCACCCGCACCTCAACCCCAGACAGGAGGGAGGAGGGAGCCCAATTCCTCATGGAATCAGCATGCCTTACCTTGCAGGTGGGGCCCTGATAGCCCCGAATCTGGTTCACCTGCACCTCGGACCCAGACAGGAAGGAGGAGGGAGCCCGATTCCTTGGGGAATCAGCTGTTGATTAGCTTGCTGCTGGGGCCAACCTCCTACAGTCCCTTCCCCCAGCCAGCTGGCTCCCCGTATCGGCTCCGGTCGCTACCAGGCCAAAGGGACCCCACTCATGCACAAATTTGTGCACCGGGCATCTATTACATTTATAAAAATCATAGAATGTACAACACCAAGATAAACCCTAATATAAACTATACACTTTAGGTGATAATGCTGTGTCAATGTTGGTTCAACAGACTGTAACAAATGTACTACTTGGTGGGAGATGTTGATAGTGGAGGAGGCTATGAGTAAATGGAGTAGAGGGGAACTCTATTTTCCACTCAGTTTTTCTGTGAACCTAAAATTCTCTAAAAAAATAAAGTCTATATATTTAAAACAGAATAATAATGACAAAGAAAAGGAAAGAAAAAAAGAGCTCTAAGAGCAATTACTGGTAAGAAGAGAAATTGTTTAGAGAAGATTGTGAATCTTACCTGAGACACAGAGGCTTAGTCCGACCACAGAGAGCACAAAGCCCAGCACCTGAAGGATCAATATGGTGATGCTGAAGGAGGACATCCCAATAGCTGGAGCTGCAAGGAAAAAGCATGTTGCAAGTGTTTAAGAAGCAATCACTTCCACTTGTATTTCGTACAGTCAAGGTCGGTGTCCTAGGACCAAAGACTGGCTCTGGAGCTTTGTGTCAGGTGGTGGCTGCTTTCCCAGTGACCTAAGCCATCTCTCTCCACTCCAGCAGTCAGCTCCACATTCACACCCTCAGCAGCCTTTCATTTCTGCAGGGAGCTGAGCTGCATTGGCAGTTTTTACCCCAAATCTTAGAACAATGCTGCTTTTACCACACGTGGGTATTTTACCATAGAATTGGCTATTAGCAGGGCCTCACCACGTGCACACAAAATCACTCTGGTGGAGAACCACTGTGCAAGCATGCCATTGTAGACATTATAACCCCTAAATGTGATTTTTAGAATAAATTATACCATCTTAATATATAACAACCCAGAGATAGGCTCTTATACCAAGAGCTAAATGTGCAAATAAAAAAAAAATAGATTCTTTAATAATAACAAAAATATTTAGTGATTTACTCCCAAAATGCAGTGGAAATTGTTACCAATTATAGGTTAGATAGCTCTATCATCTTTTAAAACTACAATGTTAAGGTTTACAATAACTCTTTACGATTTACAACCCTATTTTGTATAACTAGTTTTAAAAGAGAGTTTTAGCAAAAGAAGAGAACAAGAATGTTAATATCTATTTATAACTTCAAAAACTGAAATAAGAATATGAAGATCATTATTAAGAAATTATGTAGCATAATTTTAAAAATCCACTATTTGGCATTAAATATATTCTGAAAATCACTTTTTTACAAAATAAATACCTTGATAACCTAATACAACATTCAAATTAATCCATATAGGGAAAATTTAATGAAGAATAGTTTTTATCCTATCTAATAAAAGAGTAATATGCAAATTGACCCTCACTCCAACACACAAGATGGCCGCCCCATGTGGACACAAGATGGCCAGCAGGGGAGGGCACTTGGGAGGGACCAGGCCTGCAGGGGAAGGTAGCTGGGGACGACCAGGCCAGCAGGGGAGGACAGGTAGGGGTGACCAGGCCTGCAGGGGAGGGCAGTTGGGGGCGATCAGGCCAGCAGGGGAGCAGTTAGTCATCGATCAGGCTGGCAGGGGAGTGTTTAAGAGCAATCAGGCAAGCAGGCAGGCAGGCGAGTGGTTGGGAGCCAGCAGTCCTAGATTGTGAGAGGGATGTCCGACTGCCTGTTTAGGCCCAATCCCACCAGGCCTAAACGGGCAGTCAGACATCCTTCAAGGGGTCCCAGATTGGAGAAGGTGCAGGCTGGGCTGAGGGCCACACACCCCCCCCCCGCACGAATTTCGTGCACCAGGTCTCTAGTTGTATTATAAGAACCTAACTCTTATTGTATTATATAAAACCATACAAAAATATTTTAATCAAAAATGCCTTTTAAATGAAAAAGGGCACAATCATGCTAAAACAACAAATACTTACCTATCATAAACACAGAGTACTGAAGTAATATTAATATCACTGTAGGAACTACAATTAAACCAAGTCCACTGGCCCTCTTCGTTGAATATTCACCTGTTGATAAATAAAACTAATGTTTAAAATATTTTCCTACTTACTTCCTACTCTATTGAAAGTTAAAGTACTCAATTTATTAAATGTATTCATCTCAATACTACTCTTATAAATTGCAAAACCTTTAAAAATAAACTCTTACCCCCAAACCTCACAAAGTAAGTGACTTTTTTTTAAGACCAAATTGAACACATCTAAATGTCAACATCTAAATCTCAACATGTGGAAACATTCAATTGGCTTTCCTCCTTCTTAACTACCTTGGAGCCTCTTACCAATCCCTTCATTTGCTATATTCAATCTGTTCCAAAGTCAAAATAGCTATTCTTTGTAGCTGTCTTCTTAATTCATCCTTTCCTCACCACACACTCACTAACTCCAGCTGCAAAGAGAGATGCCAAATTTCTGTTCCTAAACATTACACCCATATTTTATTCTGTTAATAATACAAAGGTTTTCTACTATCTACACTTTGAGTCCCAGCCTATCCCTGCTGTTCTTTCCATGTGCTGCATACCCTTATTTCCGAATCCCATTCCCATCCCCCAAAAGGCAAATGCAGTTTCAGATTGATTTGTTTCCCGTGTTCATTCCCACTTTCATGTCTTGCCTGATGAAGTTTGCCTTTGCAGTGGACTGAATGGTGGCCCCAAACATCTGCCTACCTCCTAATTCCTGGAATCTGTGAATTAGGGTGAGCATTACATTATACAGCAAAATATATGAAAAAAATTTAGGATCTTGAAAGAAGGAACTTATCCTAGATTAACGAGGTAGGGCCTAAATTCAGTAAGTGTCTTTGGAAGAGAGAAGCAGAAGGAGTTTTAACACAGTGGAAACTGGAGTTATGCTGCCAGAAGCCAAGGAATTGCAATGATTGCTAGCAAACACCAGAAAATAGAAGAGGCAAGGAATGGATTCTCTCCAAGAGTCTTGGGAGGGAGTATAGTCATGAAAACATCTTTATTTCAGACATAAGGTTTTCAGAACTGAGAGAATTGCTATTGTTTTATAACACCCAGTTTGTGCTAATTGGTTTCAGCAGCTCCACCCCCAACAATGTTCTCAACCTTATCAGCCCTTATTTCCCTTATAGTAACTGCACATCTTACCTGGGACGAAGAGAATGGCTCCAACAATGACAAATGTAGTGAGCACTAGTCCAGCCACAAATAAAAGAATGGTTCTCTCCTTCGTAACACTGGCATTATATTTAAGTGCTTGAAAGAAAAAGAAAACACAAAAAAATTCCATGAACTCAGTCTCAAGAAGTGAAGTCATTTCTGTAACTTAAAAAGTGCAGAAACAAACTGATAACTTCCTATAATCAAATAGCCTTTGAGGAATAACTCTATTATATCATGTCAAGCTATCTCAAATCTTTTTCATAAGTCAGTCAATGACTAAACAGTGTCATAGCAGTATAAATATGGATGCTGAATTTATGGGAGATACTTTTATTCCCCTATACTTTAAAGATGAAGTCATATACACCATGCTTTCTCAATTGGGGCATTATTACCATTAGGGCCAAATAAGTCTTTGTGGCGGAAGGGGGCTGATCTGTACATTTAGAAGGTTTAGTAGTATCCCTGCCTCCCTCCAAACTGCATGCCAGGAACAGCCCCAGTTGTATCAATCAATGTCTCTAGACATTGGGAAATGTCCCAAGGAGTAAAACTGCCTCAGGCTTACAACTGATATGGATAATGCTGATGGGAAATAATTGGTAATGCTGAGAAAAAGAGAACTTTGTTCCACCTTATATAAAATTTTTAAAGCATCTGGAAATCTAGATGTTTTGTTTTGAAAAAGTAGAATAAAATTGGACAAATCATATCCTCTTGATATCAGAAAGGAAGGGAATGCTTAAATTATTCAAGTAAAATCTATATACACTAGAGGTCTGGTGCATGAAATTCATGCATGGGTAGGGTCCCTAGGCCTAGCTGGCGATCAGGGCTGATCTGCAGGGTGACCTGTCAGGCGATTGGAGGGTCCCCACTGGCACCCACCTTTGTTGGCCTGGTGTTGCCCACTCACTGGCCCTGCCTCCCACTGCCGCCAGTCTGGGCCTGAGGGCTGGGGGCAGCTCCTATGTTGAGCATCTGCTCCCTGGTGGTCAGTGTGCATCATAGCGACTGGTTGTTCCACCTTTCTGTTGATTCGCATATTAGGCTTTTATTATCTATACTAATAAAAGGGTAATATGCTAATTAAACCAGGTCGACCAGACATTTTCTGGAAGTCTGACTTCCTTCCAGACAGGTAGGGGGTGACCAGGCTGGCAGGGGGAAGTTAGGGGATGATTATGCTGACAGAGGCAGTTAGGGGCAATCAGGCAGGCAGGTGAGTGGTTATGGGCAATCAGACAGGCAGATGGGTGATTAGGGGTGATCAGGCAGGCAGGCGAGCAGTTAGGAGCCAGTGGTCCTGGAATGCATCCCACAGTGCCTAAACCGGCAGTCGGACATCCCCTGAGGGATCCTGGATTGGAAAGGGTGCAGGCCGGGCTGAGGGACCACCCCCCCCCCGTGCACGAATTTTGTGCACTGGGCCTCTATTATAAAAACCCTTGGCCGTGATGCTGTCATGCTGTGATGACCAAAGACTGGTCACCAGGAGGCTGTGTGTGCAGCGAGGCGTGTGCAGGTGGGCGGGTACTTGACTCTGGGTCTCGCAGCGTGGCAGGAGTCAATCTGGTACCACGTCCCACCCGGCACAGCGGGAGTCAGTCTGGATCCCGCCAGCATGGTGGGTCTGGGTCTCACATGATATCGCACACTGGGCCTCTAGTTTATACTAATAATACAGTAATATGCAAATTGGTCAGGAAACCATCACAGTAATGACCGATCAGCAGGCTGCATGCGCATCAGGCATGGGTGAGCAGGAACCTGCAGCGTCAGGGATGGGGGCAGGGCCATGGAGGAGAGGCCTCTCCCCTGCAGCCCCGGCCAGGGGTCTGTAGGCGCGTGGAGAGGCCCCTCCACCATGGGCCTGGCGAGGGGTCTGCTCCAGCCTACCTCTTTAGGGCAATCCATCGAGGAGCCCCGGATTGGTGGGTGGGGCCTAACTGTTTGGGGCGATGGACTGCGGGGCTCCCGCACTGTAACAGGGCACAGGCCAGGCTGGGAGACGCCCCTAGTCCGCCCCCCCCCCACATGCACAAATTTCGTGCACCGGGCCACTAGTATAGGATAAAAGGCTAAGTGACCGTCCCACCATCCAGTAGCTATGATGTGCACTGACCACCAGGGGGCAGATGCTCAACGTAGGAGCTGCCGAGCTGTGGTCACTTGGCAGCGGCGGTTCTCAGGTGATACCCCAGAACCAGAGAGGAGGGAGACTGATTCCTCACGATTCCTCTCACACTCCAGGACACCTTGGGGGATGTCAGGGAACCGGTTTGGCCCAATCCCCATAGGCCAGGCCGAGGGACCTCACCTGCCGGAGGGACCCTGCTCACTCCGCAGATGCCCTTCAAGCCGCAGCGCTGGCCCAGGTGTGACCAGCGGGGAGGGACTGTGGAAGGTCGGCTCCAGGGCATGTCCGACACATCTTGCCCAGTCCCACCCCGCCACCCACCACCTGGGACTGCCTGCATTAGGCCTTGCACCGAAGGGACTAATTAATTTCCTTTCAATGTGAATGAATCCATGCACCCAGACACCAGTAATTTCATAAAAATAAACTACAAATATTCAACAGAACTCATTAGCTCTATTGTCAAGCACCTGGTAGGAAAGAATAATGTAATGGATAAGCCTAAAAATATTATTTCTTTTACTATATCTTCACCTTAGGGGTTTTGTTTTGGTTAATTGTAAAATTAACTTTGTACCATAAAAATTGTTCAAAGTAATCTAAAAGCAGACTGAGTAGCAGAGAGAAACAGTGCATGACTGAAATTCTGCTGTTTCATCTAGGCCATTAATCAATGTCCTGAGGGGGTAATTTTTAAAAATGTAATATTTAGCATTAAATTTACTTCCACTAAAATGAAAAACAGATTAAATACAGAAAGAACAACAAGAACCCCTAAATGACCATGCTAAAATCTATTTTTAAGGTATTATAACATAGGGTTATATGATAAGCTTTGGTTAACGTATTTCAGGTATAACAGAAGACTTAAAAATCACTACCTACTCATACCTTAGATTGTAAACCTCAACCTTATTCTCATTAACTGGGCAGGGGTGGGGGGATGGGGGGGGAAGGTAATCAATCATGATACCTGAAGCTGAGTAACTGAAATCCACATTAATCAGCAAAGAGTGAAAAACAATATGGCAAGTTCCCAAAGCTTTCATTTGATCCATCCAGGCTTGGAACTTACCCCTCAGTTACCTAAGTCTTGACTCAGCATGGCCCTGCCTTCATATAGGGCATAGATTCTCAGATTCCCTATTTTCTAGAAGCAAGCACCGGTGAGTATGAAATTCAGTGCACAGCTTATAAAAGGCACAGATACAGATAGAAAAACAAATTTCCTCTAGACATATGTCAAGTTTTCCATTTAATTCAATGCATATTGTTATCTAAATAAAGATTGAAAGTTCTACAAAAGGGTTATGAAACAGAAGCTGTTTCAAATACACTTCACGATTAATCAAACATTCAAAAGACACTCTTCCAGGCTTAACTGAATTCATAAAAGAAATACTAAAATCAAGCAGCAAGAATTCACCTTTAGAGTACAGAAGTTCATGCAAAAAGGCTGACTTAATAAGAGTTTGATTCTCATATAAAGTTCAACCTCTTCAGGCTTACCCACAGTAACAACAAAAATAAAACACCATAAAATATGATTGACAGTATTTTACTATAGAACAACGTTTTCAAAGCCTTTGCATATAAATATTGGAGGTAGCTTTATTTTCTGTTGATTGGTTCAACTACTATTTATTACCTCCAACCCTCCCTTAAATTAAGCAACTACTTTTTGTTGTTGTTGTTGTTAATCCTCACCTAAGGATATTTCCCCATTGATTTTTAGAGCATGTGGAAGGGAGGGTAACAGACACAGAGAGAGAAACAGGGAATGAGACACATGGATTGGCTGCCTCCCGCATGTACCTCACCACGGCCAGGGATAGAGCCTGTAACCAAGGTATGTGCCCTTGAACAGCATAGAAACCAATACCCTTCAGTCTGTGGGCTGATGCTCTATTCACTGAGCCAAACTGGTTATGGCTAAGCAATTATTTCTAACAAATATGTTAGTGAAGTCTACTTAAGTAATCACAGGCAATGAAAGGGATCTATCTCCATGTTTTGTTCATGGAAACTTTTAAAAAGAGTTTCTTTTGACTCATTTTCTTTGCCACAGTGGTCACATTTTAGCACATCCCACAGAAAGTGGAAAGAAGGTATTTCGTAGTCGAGTTGTCAATTTTTTCAGTGTAGCCAAAGAGTTTGTAATCTGATATAGATGTTATAGAACTCAGTAATCACAAGAATCCTTTTTTGGTGATCTTTATTTGTTCTTTAATAGGTAGATTTATTTTTATTTATCAAATCTATAAAAAATTTTAAATGCAAACAAAGAAATTAAATACAAGTAACTCCACAAATACTTAGCATTAAGATAAAGCTAATTGAATGTGTCCTTAGTGGGCTCTTATCAAACTTCCCTGTATGATTTTCAGGCTTTTTGGCAAAGCAATCTATATAATTTTAAAAATGTGTATGCTTTAAAAGATTCCCCTCAACAAAAATCACTGAAATCAATACACAAAATAAAATGAGAAATAACAGTATTTATGCTTTTAAATACTTTTCAAGCACTGTCTTCGATTTACAACAAAATTTAGAGGGAGGTATAGGATACCCCCCTAAACTCCCTACCCCACACATGCACATCTCCCCCATTATCAATATCACCCACCAGAATGATGCAATTTTTATCAACGTGAACCTCCATTGACACATCATAATTACCCAAAGTCCATAGGTTGCCTTGAGGTTGTACATTCTGTGGGCTTGCACAAATGCAAATTGATATCATTTTAGTATCATACAGAGTATTTTCACTACAGTAAATGTCCTCTGGCTCTGCCTATTCATCTCTGCCTGTACCCACTTCTAGGAATGACTGATTTTTTCAATGTTTCCACAGTTTTGCCTTTTCCAGAATGTCTTGTAGTTGGAGACTACAGATTGGCTTCTTTCACTTAGTAATATGCATGTAATAGCTCATTTCTTTTTATCTGGA